TTGGGGCAATCAGGCAGGCAGGCAGGTGAGCAGTTAGGAGCCAGCAGTCCTGGATTGTGAGAGGGATGTTTGACTGCCGGTTTAGGCCCAATCCCCAGGATCGGCCTAAACCAGCAGTCAGACATCCCCTTAGGGGTCCCGGATTGAAGAGGGTGTAGGCTGGGCTGAGGGGAACCCCTCCTCCCCCCATGCATGAATTTCGTGCACTGGGCCTCTAGTTTTATTATAAAAAAAGTACTAGTAAAATCAAGTATGAAATATGGGATTACTAGTTCATTGAGTTATAATGGGTCCAGGTCAAGAAGGTAGGAAGGATAAAGAAAAAATGGCATTCTAAAAATATGCATGAGCTTGGGACTCACTTTGGGCAATACTCCTGAGGAAATAGTCCTTTCTGAGAAAAAATTCAGATACTAGACTAGTCCCTGCATTTTCAGATAACTTACCTAGTACAGTTCCCTCACACTTAGGATACCTCCTCCCTGCGAAATTCTTGTGTAGTCTGTAATGTAATACAGTAATCACTGAGGTGGTTGCACTAGGCAAGGGACTTCATGGGATCAGTTCTGCTAGATTTGGACTCTCTTTGCCCCTGGAATTTGTCTTCTAAGCTCTAATTGAGTCCTTTCCAGGTTTCCTTCCCAATTCTGGAACACCTTTTTCCTGAGCTATGCAATTTGACTTCTTCTGGAACGTTCTACTTTCCTCTAACTTCCTTGTCCATACTATTTCCCTAACCAAATTGCATTTGGTTCCCAAATTCTGCCATGTTAGTAACTTTCAACTGGAGAAAATTATTTCTCAAGGCACCCCCAGGACCCAAACCTCAGCATACATCCAAAGACTGCTGTTTTCACTACCTAAAACAGCCTTCCTCACTCTATTGAATTGAAATACCTTTGGGAAGTGCTAATGCGCTGACTATAGCTAAGTTCCCCAACACACACAGATTCTAAGACCTATCTTTTACATATGCTTGGTTTTCTCCCTATGGTCGGTGACTCAGGCTAAGACATGCCTATTTCCTGGATAACTCTTTAAGCCAAGTATGATTCCTATTACCTCTTCACAACTACCAGAAATTTCTACTCTTATGAGCCTCTCAGCCTAAAGACATCGGGTGCCCTTTCAACCTAAAGTAGACCAGACCCTACTTTGAAATTGACTCTGGGTTCTCCTGCATGTGTGGTTTCCAATTCTCTATCTTTACTGGTAGTAATGGCTTGTGTGTGTGTGTGTATTTTTTTTCTCCTAGTTTGAGGATGAACAATAGTATTGGATCACATACAGTATAAGGGTAAGTATGAGGCTGGGTAATGACCCAGAAGATAAAGTTCCTCATTGGGCTTTGTAGGAGCCTCTCTAAGGAAAGCATACACAGAAGGGTTTACCTCAGTGGTTTTCAATCTTGGCTGCACATTAGAATCACCTGGGAATCTTTTTAAAATCCTGATTTCTGGGCCTCATCCTCCGGAAATAACAAACAGAATTTCCGGAGGATGAGGCCCAGAAATCAGGATTTTAAAAAGATTCCCAGGTGATTCTAATGTGCAGCCAAGATTGAAAACCACTGAGGTAAACCCTTCTGTGTATGCTTTCCTTAGAGAGGCTCCTACAAAGCCCAATGAGGAACTTTATCTTCTGGGTCATTACCCAGCCTCATACTTACCCTTATACTGTATGTGATCCAATACTATTGTTCATCCTCAAACTAGGAGAAAAAAAATACACACACACACA